GATTGGGATGGGGTTCGAACCAAAGACATTTCTTATAATCAATGAGTAAGTTAACGGTGAACTAACAAAAATTAACGAAAAATATAATATTTAACGGAAAAATTAACCGATAATTATATTCATTAAGGATAAATTAGTAAATCTTAAGGAAAAATTAAAATCTGATCAATCTGAACCATTCATTTGATTAAAAAATTTGACCGCCATTTTTTCTACCCATTATAGGGGCAATTTATATCCCGCACCACGGTGCGCGTTGCATTGTGCGCCCAGATGCAAAACGACGTCGTTTCAGATTTTTATTTTTTTTTTAAAGTTTCGCTACCCAGTGTTTGGCGGTTAATTTTCCTTAAAAAAATCTCATGTTAAAAAATGTACATAATGTTATACATGAATGTACATAATTGTATAACAAAAAATATACATACTGTTTTTTAAAAGATAATACACATAATCTAACATAATACATAATAAACATAAACTTTTAACATAATACACAAAATTTCCTGATTCGGATGTACATAATTGTATAAAAAATGTACATAATTGTATAAAAAATGTACATAATAAAAAATATACATAATTGTATGAACAAATATACATAATTGTATGAACAAATACACATAATTACAGCAACTTCCTACCGCGCCTCTCAAAACGACATCGTTTTGGGAGGCGCGCGGCGCGCTGTGGTGTAGGGTATAACGATTGCATTATAGGCCTAACTCTCTTGGGCTCTTATTAGTATACTAGTTTTTTACGCACATTACGTGATTGGGATAATGCCCAATGTTTTTTTAAAATAAGTACTTTAAAGTATATCAATGCAAGATTATATTTGAATTGTTCATGCATAGATAATTGAATGTTAAATTTGCGTATTTAAATAGGCAATTCTAAATTTACAAATGCAAGATAATATAGTTGATTATAATTGTCAATAAAATAATTGTATATGTATGGTTGAAACCAAATACGCGACATAAGGGAGAGCAAATAAAAATTAGGGCATAAAATATTAAATATATATTAATATTGAAGAGTTAACTGCTGAATGTCAAACAAGGACATTGCAAGATAGTTTCTCACTTCAATTTATTGTGTGATTTGAATACTCTTTTTGTCAATAAATCCCCAAATAGTTAATATGATTGGCTTAATTATATTTTTTATTTTTTAAAACAATTATTATTATTATTATTATTATTATTATTATTATTATTATTATTATTATTATTATTATTATTATTATTATTATTATTATTATTATTATTATTATTATTATTATTATTATTATTATTATTATTATTATTATTATTATACCCTTAGGTCATTTTACATGTTAACCAAAACAGCTAATTTTTTCAAAAATCTTTTTACCAACCGTTGATATAATTCGTTAGTCAAATTCGATAATATAATCCGCTAACGCAAACCGCTAACTGCTAATTGCTAAACAAGGACATTATTATTATTATTATTATTATTATTATTATTATTATTATTATTATTATTATTATTATTATTATTATTATTATTAAATATATGTATACACTTAGGTCATTTTACATGTTAATCTAAACAGCTAATTTTTTCAAATATCTTTTTACCAACCGTTGATATAATTCGCTGGTCAAGTTCGCTAATATAATCCGCTAACGCTAACCGCTAATTGTTGATTGTTAAACAAGGACATTGCGGGGTAGTTCTCACTTCAATTTGTTGTGTGATTTGAATACTCTCTTTGTCAACAAATCCATCAAGTAGTTAATATGATTGGCTTTATTAATTATATTTTTTTAATTTTTTCATGGTATTAATTAAAATACTTGGTAAATAAATATATAGCATTATTTTGTATTATAACTTTGATATTTAATTAAAAAATAGTGCACAAAATATATAATAGACAATGTAGTGAATATAATCAATTGATGAATTTGAATGTAAATAATTTTTACATTGGAGAAATATAAAGACAATATAGCTAATAAAGTTATTTCTCTTAATTAATTCATTGATAATGAATAATTTTTTTAATGAAGACATTGTAGGGACAATGTAGCGAATATAATAAATTGATGAATTTGAATGTAAAGAATTTTTATATTGAAGAAAAATAAATATAATATAACTAATATTTAATTTAGAATTTTTATTTAATTTATTGATAATGAATACTTTTTTTTTTTATTAAAGACATGGTAGACACATAATTTTAAATTAAAGAAATGCATATGTATTATTTTTTGTTGTAGCTACTAAATTATTATTTAATTTAATAAAAGTAAAATAAAGTACTAATTATGCCAACTTTGATTGGGATGAGGTTCGAACCTAAGACCTTTCTTATTGAAATCAATGAGTAAGTTAACGGTGAACTAACAGAAATTAACAGAAAAGATAACATCTAACGGAAAATTTAACGGATAATCATATTCATTAAGGATAAATTAAGAAATTTTAAGGAAAAATTAAAATCTGATCAATCTGAGCCATTCATTTAATTAAAAAATTTGACCGCCATTTTTTCTACCCATTATATAGGCCTAACTCTCTTGGGCTCTTATATATATATATATATATATATATATATATATATATATATATATATATTATATATATATATATATATATATATATATATATATATATATATATATATATATATATATATATACTAGTTTTTTACGCGCATTGCGCGAGTGAGATAATGCCCAATGTGTTTTTTAAATAAGTACTTTAAAGTATTTATCAATGCAAGATTATATTGAAATTGTTCATACATAGATAATTGAATGTTGAATTTGCGTATTTAAATAGGTAATTCTAAGTTTGCAAATGCAAGATAATATAGTCAAGATTGATTATAATTAATTTTCTATAAAATAATTGTATAGGTATGGTTGAAACCAAATACGGGACATAAGGGAGAGCAAATAAAAATTAGGGCATAAAATATTAAATATATACTAATATTGAAGAGCTAACTGTTGATTGCCAAACAATGACATTGCGAGATAGTTTCCCACTTCAATTTGTTGTGTGATTTGAATACTCTGTTTATCAATAAGTCTCCCAAGTAGTTAATATGATTGGCTTAATTATATATTTTTTATTTTTTTATATTTTAAAAACTTTATTATTATTATTATTATTATTATTATTATTATTATTATTATTATTATTATTATTATTATTATTATTATTATTATTATTATTATTATTATTATTATTATTATTAGGTCATTTTAAATATTAATCTAAACAACTAATTTTTTCAAATATCTTTTAATTACCAACCGTTGATATAATTCACTGGTCAAATCCGCTAACGCTAACCGCTAACTGCTGGTTGTCAAACAAAGACATTGCGAGATAGTTCTCACTTCAAAACGCTAACCGCTAACTGCTGATTGTCAAACAAGGACACTTCAATTTGTTGTGTAATTTGAATACTCTTTTTGTCAATAAATCGCCCAAGTAGTTAATATGATTGGCTTAATTATATTTTTTTATTTTTTAAAAACAATTATTATTATTATTATAATTAAATATATATATATATATATATATATATATATATATATATATATATATATATATATATATATATATATATATATATATATATATATATATATATATATATATATATATATATATATATATATATATATATATATATATATATATATATATATACACCCTTAGGTCATTTTACATGTTAATCTAAACAGTTAATTTTTTCAAATATCTTTTTTTCAACCGTTGATATAATTCGCTGGTCAAATCTGCTAATATAATCCGCCAACGCTAACTGCTAACTGCTGATTGTCAAACAAGGACATTGCGAGGTAATTCTCACTTCAATTTGTTGTGTGATTTGAATACTCTCTTTGTCAACAAATCCCTCAAGTAGTTAATATGATTGGCTTTATTAATTATAATTTTTTAATTTTTTCATGGTATTAATAAACTACTTGGTAAATAAATATATAGCATTATTTTGTATTTTAACTTTGATATTTTATTAAAAAATATTGCACAAAAAGGATAATAGACAATGTAGTGAATATAATCAATTGATGAATTTGAATGTAAAAAATTTTTACATTGGAGAAATATAAAGACAATATAACTGATAAAATTATTTTTCTTAATTAATTTATTGATAATGAATAATTTTTTTTTAATAAAGACATTGTAGGGACAATGTAGCGAATATAATCAATTGATGAATTTGGATGTAAAGGATTTTGATATTTGAGAAAAATAAAGACAATATAACTAATACAATTATTTCTCTTATTTAATTTATTAATAATGAATAATTTTTTTTGAATAAAGACATTGTAGACACATAATTCTAAATTAAAGAAATGCATATGTATTATTTTTTGTTGTAGCTACTAAATTATTATTTAATTTAATAAGAGTAAAATAGAGTACTAATTATGCCAACTTTGATTGGGATGAGGTTTGAACCTAAGACCTTTCTTATTGAAATCAATGAGTAAGTTAACGGTGAACTAACAGAAGTTAACGAAAAAGATAATATTTAACAAAAAACTTAACGGATAATCATATTCATTAAGGATAAATTAGGAAATCTTAAGGAAAAATTAAAATCTGATCAATCTAAGCTATTCATTTGATTAAAAAGTTTGACCGCCATTTTTTCTACCCATTATAGGCCTAACTCTCTTGGGCTCTTATTAGTATATATATATATATATATATATATATATATATATATATATATATATATATATATATATATATATAGTAGATAGTAGATATATATATATAGTAGATATTATTATAATAATTAATTAATGTATAATAGGAAAGGAATTGTACGTTTAGCTATGAGGTTGATAATTGATATTGAACTATGGAAGTGATGTGTAGGGTAGGGCGGATAAGAAGACGACAAATAAAGCATGGCCGGAAGGACAGATGATTATAATGGAAAAAAAAGCTGAGAGGAGAAATAATGCATTCATGTCCTCTATCACTTTAATTTTAGATTATTAATAAACTTTATAAGCTAATTTAAGCTCTTCTCAGATCAGAGTCTTGCTTGCATATTTGATCGATCTAGTTTTTCAGTGTGCAATACCAAAACTTAAAACTACATACATATTCTTACCATCCAGCAAGTTAAATTAAAGATTGGAATTGAGAGATAGATGGCTTGTGTTGCTTTAGCTTCTCTGATTAAAACCATTGAGATTGAGTTTCTTCGGAAAACAGCAAGGGTAAGCCTGTCTCTCCATGATCATGATCGAGCAGGAATCAACGCTTTCCTTGAAAACCTTTCTTATTTGCAAGCCCTTCTCCAGATGGAATCCAGTGGTGATGGTGATGCAGTACTCAAAGTCAGAGATTTAGAAGTGGAAATCAGAGAGTTTGCACTCAAAGCTGAAGACGACATTGAACTACACCTTAGCAACTTCATCCTTCATCAACACGGAGAAAAAGCTGCAGCTTCCCATCAACTCCTCCTCCATCAAACTTTGAAAGAAGCTGCAAAATATGCAACAGACCTGTTGTACTCATCAAAAATGTGTAGTGTTGCTTTAACTAGTCTCATCAAAAAAATTGAGCAATACTTCCCAAAGGTGTATGGTTTTGATGATAAAGCAGCAATAACAATGGCATATTTCTCACAGCAACTTTCTACCCTGCGAGGCTGCTTATTGAAGGAGAGGAATTCCAATAATTCTGGTGCTGCAATCAAAGAATTGGAAACCAGAATCACAAACTTCGCACTCAAAGCTGAAGATGACCTCCAAATACAATTAAAAGATTTCCTTCAAGCCAAACACACCGGACGTCTAAAAAAAGCTTCCCAGAAACTCCATCACACCTTGCAAGAAGCAGCAGAAAGCGTACAAGAGTTGTTGAACATAATCAAAAGTAGAAGCAGCAATGATGATGATGATGATGAGGCAAATCAAACTCAACCATCAAATACTTGGTTAAAACATGCTAGCTCTACGAATGTTGAATCTGATGGATCCACCTCGCACGGCTTTCTAAAGCCTGAGGGCAGAATGGTTGGTCGTCACCATGATTGTAGAGTGATAAAGGACCAACTCTTTTCTCAAAATTATGCCATACCAGGTATATTCTCAATTGTTGGAATGGTGGGTATTGGAAAGACGACTGTAGCAAGAAATGTGTATGAAGATCCATCAGTTGCATCCTATTTTGATGTAAGAGGTTGGGTTACTGTACCTCAACAGTACAATAAGAGCGGAATACTAAGCCAACTTCTTCACTCAATTACACCAGTAGAAGAGCCAAATGTAATTAAAAAGGGAAGCACTCCTCATGAAGTAGCAATGCAGGTACACAAATGCTTTGGTGGTAAGAAGTATCTAATTGTTTTGGACAACATTATGAGCAAGCAAACTTGGGAGCAAGCTTGGACTGACGTAAGAGATTGTGTTTTTAATGGATTAGTTGGAAGTTGCATATTACTAGTGACTAGACACTTAGACCTAAAAGTCCATACCCATAAGATGACTCTGCTAGATCCAAAAGAAAGCTGGGAGCTATTTTGTAATATCCTTTCTATTGATGAAGAGCACTTGGCCCCTAAATTTGAAAAAATTAGGAACCGTGTTGTGGAGAAATGTGATGGATTACCCCAGTTAATTGTTGAAGTTGCCAAGCGTTTATCTAAATGCAACAACATACAACAAGGGTGGGAAAAGATTGAAAAGGAATTAGAGTCATTGGGACTTCTAGATCGCAATGCACTCAGTGTTAGTTATAATATGTTGCCACATCATTTGAAAGTCTGCTTTCTATATTTTGGAGTCTTCCCAAAACGTAAAAAAATTCTGGTTAAAATGCTTATAAGGTTGTGGATTGCCGAGGGATTTGTGAAGCCATTATTGAAACATAAGGAGTTAGAAGATGAAGCTTATGGGTACTTACAAGAGCTTACTGACAGAAGTATTCTCTTAATTGAAGATCAAAGTTGTATCAGCGAAATAAAGACTTGTAGAATGCACAGTGCCTTACATAGCTTCTGCGTAGGAGAATCTCAAAAAGAAGGTATTTTATGTGCAGTAAATACTCAGCAACATTCAGGATTATCATTAAAAACATTTACAAATTCCTGTCGTTGGCTAAGTTCTTACTCACACAGTTTTGACTATTATGTGCTCTTTGGTACCAACATCCCTCGCTCCATTTTCTTCTTTCTTGAAAATCCTGAAATGTTTGTTCCTCCCAAGCTATTAAGAGTTTTAGCTTTTGATACTTGTATATCACTTCAAAGAGTGCCAGTGCAATTAGGAGGTTTAGCTTTTCTGAGATACCTATCCATAACACAATGGTTTGAGGATTTGGATGATGTCGTGTCAAATAATCCAAATTTAGAGACACTTGTTGTTTATGGTAATGGAGCACCAACAGTCCATTTGCCATCTAGTATTTGGAAGCCGCCAAACTTAAGGCATCTCGAACTTGGCAATTCATATATGGTAGATCCTCCAAATGCAGATAAAAAGAATTTACAAACATTATCTTGGGTGGTGAGACCAATTAATTGTAGACAAACGGTGTACAGCAAGTTCCCTAACATAAAAAATCTGAAAATTTTCCTGAAGGATGACATGGAGCCCAGTCACATTAATGGATGTTGCAGCAATCCTATTACTTTGGATCATTTTGACTGTTTGGAAGTGGTTGAGAAGCTTAGCATTTCGTATTCTATTGGTTTGAATGCAGCACTACCAAAAGAGTGTATGTATCCTTCAAGATTGAAGAAGTTGAAGTTGAGTGGGACTAATATTTCTGAGGGGGATTTAAATGTAATTGCCAGGTTACCCTATCTTGAGGTGCTCAAGTTGGAAAATGCTTTCCATGGAACAGTATGGAAAGTAGCTAATGGAAGATTTCATCAATTAATATTCTTGCTCCTTGAAGCTAAAGAACTCAAGCAGTGGGTAGTTGGCCAGTACTTTCAGACGCTCAGGCACTTAGTCTTAAGATCCTGCAATTGTTTGGAACAGATCCCAATGCATTTTGCAGAAATTTGCTTCCTGGAGTCAATTGAGTTGGAGGGGTGTAACTCTTCCCTTATCGCTTCTGCCAAGCAGTTACAACAGAAGAGAAGACCCAGGGATGTTAAGGTTAGAAGCTAAATCATGTTTCTTTTTATTTCTTTTTTATTCAATGCTGACTTTCTTTACAAAATCAGTTAGTATTTCTTTTTTTCTGATCTCATTTGTTTTTGTGCATTATTTTTAACTTCACAGATCAAAATCCTTGGCCCCGAATATGATGACTCACAGAATACACATACAGAATTGTCTATGTAAGATGACTTGGGCGGCCAGCCTCATATATAGTAAATAACTGTTGGAAAATGGTATGTGTTAGGTTATATTTTTATTTTCATGCCAAATACAGTACATATACAAAAAATAAATTCATTATATTGGTTAAGATTTAATGATTCCTCACTAATGGAATTAAGAAACCAGCAGATCGAGTATCTAGAAGTTGGTCTTGAAAGATGGGCTGAAGAGCTTGGTGTTAAAAAGACGGTGTATAACTTTTTATTAGCAAACATTATATTTGAAGGAGAAGAAGATGTATGACTGGGGCAAGAATTATGTGATGATCATACTACTTTAATTTACATATCTATTTCTTTTATCTACCTCTCGCAATTAATATAATTAATCCCGAGTACTAATGTTCTTTTTGCAGATTGGTATGTCAATTGAATACGTTTTTGAAAACATTTTCAAACTGGGAAGCTAAGCTGCTAGTAGTCAAGTATTGAAGATCTAGATCAAGGTAAGAAGACTTGATTAGTTATTTCCTTCTAATTGAAGGATGGATGTGTTTTGTTCCAACTAAAACTTTAAATTCATAGTGAGACTACACTTATTGTTTTATTTTGTTCATCAGTTCTGTCTCTCACTAGTTGGTATTGATGATGTGATGATCATACTACTTTACATCTCTGATTCCTTTCTGTTTTGCAATTAACCTGAAGTACTAAAATGCTTTCACAGATCGGTATGCAAATTGGATACCATTTTGACAAATTTCCAAAGTGATAGTTCATGCATTTTGAAAGGCCTCAAATTAATCAAAGATTTAACTGTGATTCTTGTTTCAAACAAAGGGCTTTAGATCCTGTAGTCGTTCTTCAGGTGAGGTTTTAACCATTTTGTTTGAAGCAATTGAAATCTATAGACTATAGATGCATCGAGATATTGATTACATCCATTTTAGGCATTTTGTAAGGCATCAAATCAAATATTTGACAGCGATCCTGGTTTCATAAACATCACTCTCAAATCCTAAAGTTAGTCCTCAGGTAATTTTTTTATTTTAAGTAACTGAATGCTCTAGACTGCAGATAATGCATTGTATGAACTATGAAATGGCTTGCAGAAAAATTGTATTCTTTATAGAGGTTGTAGAGCCTGCAGAATAAGCATGGTTTTCCACAACAGAGAATGGAAAGGTTTTCAATAGAGAAATTATATTGCTTTAATTTGTATTTTACCTTTGACAGACAGACAAATAGTTTCTCATTTGCAGGCGATTAAAGATAGACGATGAAGAATGTTTGAGGTTAGAAGCTACGTATAGTACAACTAACATGCTCCAATTCATTCTTAATTTTTTACTTTCTTTATAAAAGCTTTTACTATTTCTTTCTCCGATCTTATTTCGTTGTCTTATTTTTCTATAGATCAAAATCATCGGACTTGATTATGAGGAATCACTACTTAAAAGATGAGTTGACGGAGCTCACAGTGAATTTACTGTTGTTTGAAAAATATATGGTACTTATGCAAATAAAGACATATTGCAACTAACATACTATTTGATATATAATAAAACATGACTAATTTTCTGGTTTAATTTCTCATTCAAAAGCTATTGTTTGAATTGACAGCCAAATGTTTCTGATTTTGCAGGGCATTAAGCATAAACTTGCTCAATCCCGGCCAGATAATCGAAAGATGCAGTATATATGATAATACCCGGTTTTCTCAAGGCAATGGATAGCTGAATAGTAGGCTACTATCTTTAATTTGCTCAAGATGCTATTGCAGAATATGCTAATAGATGGTGTTGAAACACAAGCTAGATGCTATTGCAGAATATGCTAATAGATGGTGTTGAAACACAAGCTAGATGCTATTGCAGTTTGCAGAATAACTCAAGCATACTGGTAAATCCTCTGACTAGGAATAAATATAATTTGCAAATATTACCTTGGGTGAGACTAGCAAGCTGAAATGGGAAGCTAATAAACTCGAGCATGCATGATTGTAATTTCAATGTCTAAAGTGGTTAGTTTTGAGATATATATGTTATTATATGGAAGATCAGAGCTCCCTTAGCTTGATGTTTAACCGAATATTTGACATTGCGGCCGGTCAATTAAATTGGATTAGTGTGGCCCTAGCTTTACGTTGTAGCTTCTGCTAAGCGTATTTGAGACTAGCAAGCTGAAATGGGAAACCCCCCCTTTTTTTTTTCTTTTTTTCTTTAGATTAGAAGCTATATAGCATGTTATCCATTCTGGATTACTTCTGAAATCTACTCAAGTACAAAGAGTCAATGCCACTTGAACTCACAATCTCCCAAATGGGAGAACGACTTGGTGCTACTAGACCACAAGGTCCTTGGAAAACATTTTCTACTTAAACACATTATAATTACTAAGTATTTGATTCAAATTACAATTATTATTTCAATGTTCGACAAATAGATGTACTTGAAGTAAACTTTCAAAAAAAAAAAAGATGCACTTGAAGTAAAAGAGTAATATATCATCCGCAATCTCCGCATCACGCCGTGTTTCTTCCGATCATGATCTCCGATCGTGATCTGTAATCGTGCTCCGTTTCGTGCTTTCTGATTGTGGACCTCTCTCTTAGCCGTGTCTAAGAGAGGTTTCTCCCTAGGCGTCTAAGCTAGGGTTTCTATTTATTTGTGGCGCTTGTTCTGATGGAGATCTCAACACTAATCTGTACTACTTTGGTCATCGCGACGATTCGTTTCCCTCTGGTCATCATGGATATCCGGTAGATTGAGGATAGATGTGCGGACCTGACAATCACTGAGGAGGAATCCGGTGGGATGGAGGCGCGAGACATCCATTCCAATCATGATGCGGCGATCCAACATAATCTCGTCGGTCGCTTCCTTACAGATCGACCGATAAAATTCGAGCACATGCAACAGGTCTTGACCTCGGTTTGGCGTCCGGTGATGGGCATGCAGGTAGTGCCATTATCAGATGAACTATTCATGTTCCAGTTTCCCCACCCGAAGGATCTTTAGAGGGTCCTTGATGATGGTCCATGGACGTTCGAGAATAACATGCTGGTCTGCGAGATTGTGCCGATCAATGTCAGGCCGGAAGATGTCAGTTTGGACTCTGTCTCGTTCTGGATTCAGATACACGGACTACCGGCTTTGTACGCAACTACTGATTTCCTCACGAAGATTGGGAATTATGTGGGGACCTTCGTTACTTTAGATCCATTTAATTTTGGAGGTGCCTGGAGAAGCTTCTTTCGAATCAGAATGCGTCTGAATGTTGCGACACCCCTGAAGAGACGGCTGAAGATGTTGCGGAAGGATGGTACGTCGCAGTGGGTCTCTTTTCGTTATGAGAGACTCAGTACGTTCTGTTTCGGTTGCGGGGTGCTAGGCCATTCCGATAAGTTATGCAAAAGGGTGTACGAAGAAGGCATTCTCCGTGAGGCTTTTCCATTCGGGGCGTGGATGAGGGCAGGACCTCAGCGACGGGTGAAGCCTGTAAGGGCAAAGTGGTTGCTGCCAACCTCAACGCAAAAAGCTGTAGAGTCCAACATCCTTGCCGCCAGTCCGTCTCCCTTGACACTGGTGGCCATGGAGGAGAGCGGGGTTCTACAAGGCGATCTAAAACGTCGCAGAGAGGAGGATGGGTCAACGGCTAGCCCACAGGATGAAGATGTAACCATGGGTGAGAACTCAAAAAACGAGATGATGGCGGTCTGGTGGACCAGGCTCGCCAAGCCAAATGAGTATTATCAGCTGGAACTGCCGGGGAATGGGTGGTACCCGGACGGTTCGTGAATTATTGGGCATTGTGTCCAAGCAGCGGCCCTTCTTCGTCTTCTTGATGGAGACGAAGGCGAAAAGTTTTCGAGTGGAACAGGTGCGAGTGAAATTAGGCTTTGAGGGGATGTGTAGTGTGGACCGTGCGGGTTTAGGTGGGGGTCTGGCGTTGTTCTGGAGAGATGCAAAAGGGGCACTACTACACAGAACGCTTTTAACGTCGGCTAAATTGGGCTTTTAACGTCGGCTAAAAAGCAACGTTGTTCTGGGCGACGTTGTATCGAAAACATACAACGTCGGCTAAATAAATAACCGACTTTGTATATTTTTTTTTAAATTATTAAAACATACAACGTCGGCTATTAACAAATAGCCGACGTTGTATGTGGGTAAAAAATATATTATGAATACATACGGCGTCAGTTATTTATTAATAACCGACATTGTACGTATTTAATTTTAAAAAAAATTAACATAACACGTCGGTTTTTTTACAAAATGAAAACAATCATATGGTTTGGTCGGCTATGTTCAGAGCAACACCACAAAAATTAGATATCAATTTTAAGAGGGTGCCTAATGACTTACAGAGTGATTAGAATCCACTTCTGTCAGAAATTTATATTAACAAACTAACATAACAAAAATTTATTAACAAACTAATATAACAAACTAATTTAGATTTTTCTGTCATGCGTAATAATCATAATAATTAGCAGGATGAGCAGACAGTCAATAGTCAAATTACATAAATCCCAAACAATAAAGCTCCTCATGCTCTGGCTTCCTCTTTTCCTTCATCTTGAGGTCTTCTACTTGTTCAGCACTGATTACCTTGTTTACAGAACCACTTCCTTTCTCCATAGAGCCCTGGTAGAATTTTCAAAATTCCACCCATATTTAGAAATATAAATTTAAAATAAGGAATTAAATTAAGTGATAGAACATGTGTCATGAAACTATTCTCATATTGCCATTGGCATTTACTTGGTTGATGACAGGTAATTAGCATTTCTACTGGGAAAGGAAGTGGTTTTCAATAATGATAAATAAAATACATAGGTTAATTATGAGGTATTCACAGGAAGGGCATACTCACTTTAGCTACCTTTGCCACAAGCTTTTTCTCCTTTTCTGTCATAAACCATGTTTTTTTAGGGCGTGAATAAATCTCATCTTTGTGTGCAAACATATTTTCTGCCTGCAAATTCATTAATACGAAGAAACTATAGTTGGTCACATTGTGCTCAATGTTAAACATCCTTTATTTTGTTGCTTTGTTACTATTCAGGTGTAACTATGTGAACCAGAAGCTGGTTATACCTATGCTTTGTGCATACCTCTTGCAGCTGAGGCAAAACTTTTGCATCAGAAAATAAATCAACTGTAATACCTGAAATAATTAGGTCAACAAAAGTAAGAAGCAGCGTATGGAACTTAATGAAAATGTACCTATCAGTGCATGCCTCCTCATATTTTTGTATGTTAGCACTCATTTATGAGTACCATAATATCAATCTAAAGCAGCCAGTTAGGAAAATGATCCCCACACATCAGTTAGAGATTCATGTGGCCTTTCAATTACTGGCAACAAGGAAAAAACACTTATATTCCAGCTTTAAAAAGTTGCTTTACTGCACAACAAGAAAACAGGAAAAGACAAGCTTATTCCAATCTAGGCAGATCAAGAAAAATATTTTGTTTTGCACCTTCAAGCTCACTATTACTACTTGTAGCATCATTTTTTTATTGTCAAGATTCAAGAACAATGATCGGTATTTTAGAAATGTATCAGAACTGCAGTTTAATTCTTATACCAGAGCAGCAGAAATTGATTGAAAACAATTCTTTTCATCCTCCTAGTCAATCTACCAAAGTGAAGAAAAATTAAAATACATCAACGGTAATATGAAAATAGGTTGGACACCAATTTAATTAGAAGTACTAGTGTTCAGGATAACAATGCCAAGAAAGCATATTTTGGCTCTTCTTATTCTGAACATGCCAATAAATAAATAATTATTCTAACAAGCAAATCTGATTTGTGCACTAGTAGCCTCTTGGTTCAAAAGGCTAACCTGTTTATTAAACATCAATACCTCTCTCTTTGTGGGGTGTACATTCACATCAATTTATAGTAGAGAAATTGTCTAGACTTCATAGACCATTCATTTAACGAAACATAAGCAGAAAAAATGAAAAAAAAAAAAAGGACATTGAGCTCCACTCTTTGGCCAAGAAAAGAAAAACAAGAATGATTGTTTATTTAACTTTATAAGAGTGAAAATAGCAGTGAAAAGGATGATCGAGATAGGGTGCTAAGTAAAAGAATACGAATATCTACCAATAGCAAACCATCAAATGTATAAAACATATGTTGTATTGTTAATTTGTTATGTAAGTCATAATACCCATTTTAAAATGTCCACATGCAAAAAGAAACAGGAAAAGACAATCTTTTCTTAAGTGGTCATGTTTAACAGTTACAAACAAATTATAAAATTCGTATAAAAGCTTCAAGAAACCAATTATTATCTTCAATGATCAGAATAATGGTGCATACCATTATTGAAACATAAGATTACAAATGAAGAGAAAATATTAAAAGTAATGGCCTAATAACTTTAGCCTCTCTTACCAAGAATAAAAACAACCATGAGGAAGTAATTTGTCCGGTAGCTGTAATGAAAAAAGAGAAGAAAAAAAACAAGAGAATGAAGAGTCAATACATTGCTGATTGCAATAGTATAGTTGTTTAGGAAATCTAAACAATGCATAAATTTGAGTCCCTAGATCTCTTTTTTCATCTAAGGGTGCGTATAGTGTATACCTCAAGTCAACATTTCCATTTCATTTCTTCTTATTTTATGTTCAAAGTTTCTCTCTCTTTTTTTTTTTTTTTTTTTATTCAGCAAAATAAAAACTGTATATATAAGAAATTAACAGAAATAAGGGGAGGGAAAAAACTTGATAAATAATGTATATATCACAAGAATGTCTAAGATATACAATAACACACAACAAATCTAAACTAAAACAAACAATAAAATTTTCAGTCTAACATATACAATAGCATTTGAACCTCTCTTCTTGAAGAATTTCTGCAACTTGGTCCTCCATAATGGTCAATTATTTTAGCCCATTTGATTATTGATTGCTCGGCAACAATTCGACTCTTCAGCCTTGAACAAGCTCGTTTAACCTGCCCATTATTGCAATAGTAAGTCTGTGTGTACTTGTAACTGTTTCTAAAGGAAAATTATACTCATCTCACAATGGAGTGGAGAAAATTAGATAAGAAAAGTTTTAACATGTTCAACCACCTCCTGTGTTGATCTATGGCGCACATCAAGATCTGCCCAGTAATTAGGTAATGGAACTTTGCTCACAACAAGTGCCTTACCCTTGTTA